AGTGTGATACTGAAGGAGTTGTTGAGTTTTATTAAAAAGCAGGAAAAAGAAACACAGTGAAGCTGGACATTGATGACAATGGTCCTCTCCAGTGTTTTTATACAATATGGCCAGAATGAAATAAAAATGAATCCTAATTTAACTCATATATGAAAATACAGTCACAAAAGAAGGAAATGGCTGTTGTTTGCAGGTATCACACAATCAACACAAATTCTTATTTATATACTAATAGATATACTGCATATATTTACATATTTAATATTTAACAGTGGTGCCATACTATAATGCTTATTCTGATTGATTTCCTTTTGACAATAACTTCTCCCTAAGCACAGCCTTATTGTTATTGCTGAATTAAACGTTACGCTTTAAGCACTTAAGCACTAAGTTCTTAACACTTGCGGCTCATGGGAGTTTCTTTAAAAGTCTTGAGTAGTTATAGTTGACATCCTGAAGGCGATGAGGCATGTTACCCACCCTCAGCTGTTAGTCCCCATAGATACAGTATAAATTGTGTTTGTAATATAAAAGCAGAAAAGTGCGTTTATCTAACTTTGCTTGGGAAAATTGGTGTTATTTAGATTTGTATTATTCTGTAGCTGAAATGCTGTGGGCTGGGTCCTCTGTGATGGGAATTAATTATTCATTATGGTGCTGACCTGTCAACACTTACAAGAATGTGTTATTTAAATTCAAATGCACAGCTGTACGTTCCTGTGTTAATACAGAAAACAAATCAGTGTTGGTGTACTTTAAATACTCTCACACTCCAGTATATGTCCCAAGTTATAATGCTGCGAGCAATTAATTTCAATTTATAATAACAGGAGTAAAAAAAAAAGGATAAATATTTCTGTATTTTAAGTGTGTTTTAGATTTCTTTCTGGTTTTCTCAATCGAAAACACAACCTTCAGCAAATCTACTTGTAGGTTTTCGTCTTTCAGGAGACAGTTTTCACTCAATTTTATCAGACATGAAGAAGCATCATTTCAGATTTTGTTCAGCTAAGAACCTTCCAGGTTGAAGCTGAAAGGAAATCATCTTGAACTTTTCTTTGGCGGGGGTAACACACTTAAATAGGTTGTTTGAATTCACAACTGTCTAGCCTGTGGGTCTGTTCTGTTTCAAACTATAATTCATAGAATTGCAGCCTTGGAACATGATAACTGCCTTTCAATCAATCTGCGCTGCATTTCCATTCATTTGCTTAGCTTTCAAGTTGCCAAATTAGTCACTCCTTGTCCCTGCTGGAAACATTTTGATCTTCAAAAACAGCACCTTGAGCATTACTTTGTCTCTGCTGCACAAAAGTAGAGGGGGCAGAGTGAGGGTTTGTCCGAAACCTGCCCAGAAGTACTATCCCTAATAACATGGTTATAATGAAAGGCTATATGCTACACTCCAACATCAAAAGCTATTGTCTAATTTTGGCCAGCGGGATGTGACAAATCCGTAATTAAAATAGCAAGCTCGGTGATAAAACAAAGCCACTTGCTGGGAGACAGCGGATCTGGGTAGATATAGATCTGTCATTAGGCTAAAGAATTGTCCTTTGCCTTTCCTGCCTTTATCTCCCTAATGCGGCTACATTTCCCCAGGATTGGCCTTTTTTTCAGTGGAAACCCCCCCCAAAAA